GGTGGAATGGGGCGTATAATCACTCTACCTGCAAACCAGAGTCAAGTGAGTGGCAAGCTGAGCTCTGGCCCCATTGCCATGGCAGCACAAAGTCAAGGAGGTTCAGCAAGAAGCTAAGGAACTCTCCAAAAGATTGTGGTTGTTTGATATGGCAAGTGTGGGTGTGAGCCAAAGAAAGACACTGCTCAGGGCTTTGCTTCTGGGAGACAAGGCTGAGCAGGAGCAGGAGAAGGAAGATCTGGGTGCTTTTTCCTTCCATTCTTGGGGCCAAAGGAAGGAGAACCCAGGAGGGACAAAGAGGGAGGCAAGAGCTACAGCTAGAGCAGCTGAGGAACACTAAGAGTCTCCACTAGATCACATGTACCAAACAGCCAGGAGCTAATTGCAAGTTACCTTTCTGAGTTTGCTGTAAGCAGGGAATATATATTTAACAAACCGCAACGCAATACAAGAAGCTGGTGTGGTCTTTGTGGCAGTGTCAGGGCTGGTTTCAAAGAGTTGCAACACTCAGCCTGTTTTACTATAAAAACCTTCTAAGGGAAAATAAACCATTAACAACCCCAATCAAATCAGATCACCCGCATTAGGAAGAATTTGGGGGTAGTTTCCCAGTACATTTCCGAGCACAATTCAAAGTGTTGGTGCTGACCTTTAAAGCCCTAAACGGCCTCGGTCCAGTATACCTGAAGGAGCGTCTCCACCCCCATCATTCTGCCCGGACACTGAGATCCAGCGCCGAGGGCCTTCTGGCGGTTCCCTCATTGCGAGAAGCAAAGCTACAGGGAACCAGGCAGAGGGCCTTCTAGGTAGTGGAGCCCGCCTTGTGGAACGCCCTTCCAGCAGATGTCAAAGCGATAAACAACTACCTGACATTCAGAAGACATCTTAAGGCAGCCCTGTTCAGGGAAGTTTTTAACGTGTGATATTTTATTGTATTTTTGGTTTTTATGGAAGCCGCCCAGAGTGGCTGGGGAGGCCCAGCCAGATGGGCGGGGTATAAATAATAAATTATTATTATTATTATTATTATTATTATTATTATTATTATTATTAGTTCAGAAGTTTGAAACTGTTCTGTACGGTGCAGACCTAGCTGCTCTTCCAGCTGGATGTAGCACCCAGTGCTGCAGCGGACCTTTCCTTTTTTTACCTTTAAGTTCCTGTTGCTGCTTCTGGAGTGCAGTTTGTGTAAGGATTAGAGCCAGTGCAGAACAGTGGTTAGAGCATTGGACTAGGGACTGGTATAAGTAAAGGTAAAGGTACCCCTGCCCGTACGGGCCAGTCTTGACAGACTCTAGGGTTGTGCGCCCATCTCACTTTAGAGGCCAGGGGCCAGCGCTGTCCGGAGACACTTCCGGGTCACGTGGCCAGCATGGCAAGCTGCATCTGGCGAGCCAGCGCAGCACACGGAAACGCCGTTTACCTTCCTGCCAGTAAGCGGTCCCTATTTATCTACTTGCACCCGGAGGTGCTTTCGAACTGCTAGGTTGGCAGGCGCTGGGACCGAGCAGCGGGAGCGCACCCCGCCGCGGGGATTCGAACCGCCGACCTTTCGATCGGCAAGCCCTAGGCGCTGAGGTTTTACCCACAGCGCCACCCGCGTCCCTAGGGACTGGTATACCAGGGGTTCAAATCCCCATTCCTTTCCATGTCATTTCCTGCAGATAACATGCTTAAGGCAAGGATACAGGCAGGGGTGCTGACTTGGGGCCCAGGTTATGGGTGCCCAATGGCGCCTGCGACATCGGCAGTGCTTTTGAGGCCTTGCGGGGTCTTAGAGGTCACACCTGAAGCCTCACAAGACCTCCAACGCAACTGGAAGGGCCTCCAACGTGGTCTGGGAGGTCGCGTCAGTGCTCTGATGCAACTTCTGGTAGAAACCGGAAGTTGTGTCGGAGCCCTGTATTGTGGGTGCCCTGGCACCCAGAGCCCCCCTAGACCTGACACCTGTGGATAGAGGGATAGAGGCATTTTTCTTTGCCCACAACTTTCTCCTTGCTGACATTGTTGGAAGTGGAGTCTTCAGTAGGGCATGGAGAGAAGGCGGGAAGGGATCTGCTGTTTGTTAAAATGGTTTCTTGCCCTGCCTAATATTTAAACACCACCCACCGGACTGGGGGGAGGGAAGCTGAGTTGCTTCACAACTGACTGCTGTGTCCTTGCTACAAGAGATCTATCTGCAGAGGCCTGTCTTGTCATGTGGATTACCATCAAATAAAGACATGTGTGCACCCCGATTCACATAGTAAGATCCTTAGGCTTGCTGCACTAACAGATATGTTTTGAAGAAGGGATTTTGCCAACTGCTGTAGCTACACAAACCATTTCTGGATTGTATTGCTATTCCAGGAAAATAGTTCAGGTAATTTAAAAGCCATAGAATTAAAATATCATCAAACCCACATTTCAATAATAGCTACTATCTTCCTTATTCTTTCTTTTAGAACTTCAGCCACATCTTTTGCATCTTTTTCACCTTTTCTTTAGCCTTTAATTCTGAAAACAATTATTATTTTTAAAAAACCTTTAATGTAGACTTCAGCCCTTTTTGAACTCTGGTATATATAATAACAACAAAAGAGAGCTCTTTATCCTGATCTGCACTTTAATTACAATATTGAACCATAGAGTCTAACCAGATGCATGTCCTTAAATGCCTAACTCTTAAAGTATAATTAGAGGTACTGCCATTTCCACACATGTCTGAGGCTTCCATAGTGGTGAATGTATAAAGTGGGAGAGGAAAGCAAGCTCCATTCTCCAAATGGCAGAAGTCACTGCATTTGTTAATATTGTAATGCATCAAATTCAAGCTGTAAAAAGCCATGTTCCATTTACACAGTTCACTGGCATTCAGCAGGCATGGGCATAATGTGTAGATTTCTTTTGGTTATTAAGAATGCTACTTGACTTCAGGATACCTTAGGTTTTCTCCTCCGTTAACTTACTTGGAATGCCTGGGTCAGGCTTGCAAATAATTATTCACCTGATCACTAGTGATAAGAATGGTACTTAGATGCCCAGTCAGGGAAGTTGTTCTTTTTAAAAACATGCTTTGATTTTTCTTTTACATCACAAATTACTAGTGCTCCAAGTTCAAATGAAACAGTGAAGATATACAGTAAATACCCCATTTAAGTTGACAACTCTAGGCACTACCAATAGTAAATATTAGTATGTCCTCTAGGCCCAGTTATCCTTTCATGCCACCAGTTTATGTACTAACCACTGTACTGTAGCATACTTTATTACAAAAAAACCTATCTTTCATTTATATCTTGAGATGTTCTTAGTCCACCTATGGGAAACACCATTCAGCTCTCTGTAGGCCCACAAAGTGCTAGGGAACCCTGTCCACTTTCCCCTACTGCCCAGATGACTAGCCATTACTGTTCCCATCCTGGTAGGCAGTGTGGCAACAACTATTTTAGCTACATTGGGATTGCTGGGGAATGCACATTAAAGCTTGTGTTCTCCAGCACTGCCAATGCAGCTGGGGAGGGGACAGATTAAAGTGTGGGTGGGCGGGACAGAAGGTTGAAAGAAGATGCTGGTGTTCCACCCCCCCCCCCAATTAAGTCCTTCCCCACCGACTGTCAAGCAGCTCCACTTGCCTGTCAAAGTGCTGCATATGGCCCTCAGAGGGGGCAAAAAGGTTGTCCACCTCTGTTCTAGTCCATGAAAATACCTTGGTATTCATCTGTTCATTAAAAATGAATATATCCTGCCCTTCACCATAAAACAGTTGTGGGATGGGTTACAGCAGATAAAATTAAAAGCAATATTGGCCGATGCTGCTCAGTTAAAGGCCTAGTGCAGGGGTCTGCAACCTTTAAGACAAAAAGAGCCACTTGGACCCGTTTCCGAAGAAAAAACAACCTGGGAGCCGCAAAACCATTGTGACATTAAAAGCATGCGCGCCGCTGCCCTCCGATCTGACAGCGGGTGGGAAGGTGACGTTGGGACGGTGCGTGACTAACGCACGCACTGCCCCCATGCGACGTCACAGCCAGTACAGCGCCCGCCACAATGGGGAGTGTCGGGGCGCACAATACACCTCCTCCCCTCGCTAGTATCCGCCCCGGAGCCGCGGCAAAGGTGTAAAAGAGCCACATGCGGCTCCGGAGCCGCGGGTTGCAGACCCCTGGCCTAGTGGAAAAGAAATGCTTTTGACCTCACACCCGAAAGTAATTAACATTGGTGTGATGTAAAAAGGAAGGAAGGAAGGGTCTCCATGAGTGTGTGTCTATAAAGGGAGGAGACAACAGGATTCCACAAGATTCCTAAGCAAAGCAGCCTAGCATAGAAAAAGGAAAGGGAATAAAATGAGGGAAGTTAGGCAAGGAAGGCATGGCATCAAGGAGTCATTGCTTGAAAATCATGCCAGATGGAAGTGAAGGTTATTAACAGGGGTATTTATTCCTGTGAGAAGCAATTCCTATCCCCTTGCCATACAGATCAAGCATGTCATTGATCCCTAGAAGTTCCAAGTAATATCTCATCTAGTTTGGCCTTTAGGGAGATAGAAATGCAGTGTGGAGCTGCATAGATGTCCCTAATCTGTCATTTTCAGGCAACATGCAAAGGGTTGTTTTTGTGTGTGTGTGGGAGCAAGGCTGGAATTTAAGCTGTGTAGGAACTTAACGATTTATCATTGTTTCAAAGTCAAGTGGTTAAAAGCAGAGTGAACAGAAAGAAAAATATTTTCATGAATCTTCCTGGCTTTTCATAGCCAAATTAATGACAATATTGTTAAATGTTTCTATAATCAAATACAGGACACAATTGCAAAGATCTATAAATAAAGAAAGATAATGATGGTGGTATGAGTACCTTGTCCTACATATTCAGTTTATTGTCTTTCTCGGAGTGCTGTTGCTATTTTTAAGTATCTTAACCATGCTACAAAAATAGTATAATACTTATGTCATCCTTTAAATGGAAACATCTCTGAAGCTACAACTTTTAAACAAACACTTCTTGTGTTTTGTTTTTAACAGAAAACCAAGAGACACAATGGACCGTGCTCTTCTGTTACTGCTGTTTTCCACTCCTGTCTGGAGCCTCATGAATGGAATAGATGCAGAACAAGATTTCAGCTGGCAGTTAAGAAAAGTACCACAGATAGTGAAAGAAAAAACTTTCCTCCTTGACGCTCCTAAATTTGAAGCAAATGCCAAATTGGAGCTGAGTGGAGTGTGTGGGATTGAATGCCAAAGGACTCTCCCGGTGCCACGCCTGTCAGACTTGAAGGAGCTCCTCTCCTATGAGACTGTCTTCGAGAACGGCACACGGACCCTGACTGAGGTGAATGTCTTGGGAGCAGATCTTGACCCAGTGGCAAACACTACCACCAAGGTGCGCTCCAGGAGAAAGAGGCAGGTCTACGGCACTGACAGCAGGTTCAGCATTTCAGACACGCGCTTCCTGACCAACTTCCCTTTCAACACCGCTGTAAAGATCTCCACGGGCTGCAGCGGCATCCTGATATCACCAAAGCACGTCCTCACTGCTGCTCACTGTGTGCACGATGGCACAGATTACATCAAAGGCAGCAAGAAGCTGAGGGTGGGGTTGCTGAGGCTGAAATCCAAAGGGGACGGCAAGAGACGCAGGGGAGCCAGGAGGAGCAAGAGGGAAGTGTCAGAGGTCGGGGACCACCACACTGATGCCAAACAGCTGGAACAAGGTCCCAGCAAGAGATCTGGCAGGAAACAAAAGGCATCTGGGTTGAATGAGAGGAAATCTGAGCGTAAGCCTTCCTTCCAGTGGACCAGAGTTAAAAGCACACAGATCCCCAAAGGCTGGCTGAGAGGCATAACTGGAGATGTTGCAGTGGATTACGACTACGCAGTCCTGGAGCTCAAGCGTCCTCACAAGAAGAAATACATGGAGCTGGGCATTAGCCCAGCTAGCAAAACAATGCCTGGAAGCATGATCCACTTTTCCGGATATGATGCTGACCGATCTGGCCAACTGGTCTATCGGTTTTGCAGCGTATCTGAGGAATCCAGCGATCTCTTCTACCAGTATTGTGATGCCGAGTCTGGCTCTACTGGATCAGGGATCTACCTTCGCCTTAAAGAGCCCAACAAGAAGAAGTGGAAGCGCAAAATTATTGCCATTTATTCTGGTCACCAGTGGGTGGATGTCAATGGGGAAGAGCAGGATTACAATGTGGCCGTTCGAATTACTCCTGCCAAATATGCCCAGATTTGCCTCTGGATACATGGGAACAATGACAATTGTGCACAGGGCTAATGGCAGCCGATGCAAGATCAGCTCTAGTATCTGACAGTGCTATGAAGTGAAGAACCTGCAAAAATAAATGCTGAACGTACAATGACCTGCATCTGACTTTATTTGAACTTGAAACCAGCATTTTTCTGATATGCTGAAAACATTTACACAGCATTTAGCAGAATTTCTTTTTGACTGAGTTGTTTAAATTGACCGTAGATATGATGTGCACTTAAAGCCCCATATTGTATTACTGTATTTATTGTTTTTAAATTGTGGTAAATTTGAGTCATTCATATTATGGAACAGAAACTAATGGCTCTTTCCGTTTGCTTGCATTTTTAAGGAGAAGCGCCTTCTCTTTTAACTGGTACTATTAAACTATGTGATTGTTTTGTTTTCAACTTATTTACTTGTCTCAGGGTTCTGCTCCAGTACGTTTTCTATTCTTCCTGTTACACAGGTTGCATGTCCATTATTGTACGGTATCTGCGGGAGAATCCAATTGTGAAACACTGGGATAAGACAAGAAACAAAGCTCTCCCATAACCCTTATTACTGTAGACAATACCTCTTCACAATGAAATGCCTCTGCCAAGTTGGCCTAGTTTAGGTCATATGCAAAACCCACAAATTCCTTTTCCTTGAATTCTAAAATAGCAAAGTGGAACTTAATGAATGTAGCATGTCTTCTGTTTGTGGGGGGAAAGGAACCATATGAGTACAATTTAATGCCTGTAAATTTAGTTTTAGAAGATATATGCAAAAGTGAGATTATTAGATGTGTATATGTTTTAACCTGTCACTATTTTGAACAAATCACTGGCTTAAAAATATAATCATCAGCATCAAGTGATGTTACTTTTGACAAGAGGCAACAATGACAACTACTAATTCAAGTTTTGAAAACAATGGTTAAAAAGAGCTAAACATACCAAAGATGAATAAGGTTGTCTTAAAAAATGGGATTATAGGCCCAAGAGGCCATATGCACTTGAGAGTGAGGGCAACCCCTATTCACCTCACTAGAGAGTAGGGCAGCTCTCTTTTCTTCAATACAAAACTCTGGCCCATTCATTGAAGTGAATGGCGAAGCCTTTACAACAAGGCCAAAACACATAGTTGAGATGACTATTGAATTGGGACTATCCAACAGACTATCTTTTCCTCAGATGGGTTTGTGGGTTGGGTAGTTGTGTTAATTCTCGGCATCAAGAATTACCAAAAGCAGATAATTGTTTGCTGAGTCATGTTTCAACCTTTTGGAAAATGTAGGTTAAATTCTTATGTAAATACATTAGGTGACTTATTATATAGCAATAAACCAACCGGGTTCATGTTCATTTCTGAACCTCGACTTTTACTAGAAAAGTACTGTATTTAACATGAGCTTAAGTATTGCAAATTTACACATTTCAGTAGCTTTTAAAAAATTATATCAGCTGAGCTTCCTGCTTCAAATGTACTAGTGTATGTGAAAGTTCTTTGTGACAAAACTGGTTGTCAGGATGCTGTTTAATATGTAGCATTAAGATGCATATTCCAGGCCCATATAAGCTTGGTTTTTATTAGCATTACAGTAATTCAGTTTTTAACTTGTATTGATCAATTTTTTCCCCACCAGTGTGGAAGAACAAAGATTTTTTTAAAAAATAAATGACATTAAAATATATATTGATGGCCAAATTTTTTACAAATCATCTCTATATTGTGTGAATGAGATATTATTAAAACACCATTTGTGTATATAATTATTTGGGGATACTGTATTAAATTTGGCATTGACTTGCAAATCCATTTTTTTAATCATTTCTATTATTGAAATGTGCATTTGAAAGCAGCTCAAACAAAATTAAAATCTGTTATCAAAGTTCACAGTGTTTATATGGAAACATTATCATTTTAAATTAATTTCCCCTGCAGTATTAGGCACTCATTCTTAAACCAGCAGAGCACACAAAGTGGAAGTTTTAGCCTGGCCACCTGGTGAGAAATGGAGTTCCTGACTCACAGTTCTATTATATTCTAGAAACAACCATTAAAATATAAATTTGGGGGGGTGGATTCATGAGGGCAGCAGGGAGGAATTTACCCCACATTTTATATGTTTTTTTAAAAGCCCTGATTTTTTTTCTTGCAACACACACAAGCTATCCACATTTGTTGGGTTCACATAATGAAAGCAGGAGGGAGAAGAAACCTGCAGAGCAGAGCAAATTGTTGGTAAGATACAAATAAACCTTTAGGCCCGGGGACAGATGGATGGGACCCTCCTAGACACGACAATTCTTTTGGACTGAGATTGTCTGTGTGGTGCATACTGTATTGTTGGCTGCCTGAGAATGGGAGATTGACAGAAAAATATCCAAGACTCTCTAGAAGGATGTGTGCGACAGGAAAACAGTGCGGCCTTGACATTTGGGGCAGTGTGGGGGTTAAAAAATTGCTAGCCATTTCACTTTGTAGTTTCCCTAATGGACCAGCCACCACTGAGCCAGGGATATGAAACACCTGAGCCCCTGGAGAGTTGTTGCCAGTTAGATAATAATGAGCCAAAGTAGATAAATAGTTTGATCTAGTGGAAGCTATCCTTCTATCCCAGTAAAAATCCAGAAAAAACACGCTGAAAGTCTACATAACATTTCTGATTAGCAACTCAATGCTTTTAATAATTAGTTCTGTGCCAAAAGCAAATTGCCGCTGAGGTTATTAGGAATTGATGCATTACTGACTATGGAGCCATGTTTTCGTCCTGGGCCTCTGTCTACCCTATAGTCAGACATCTATTTGAAAGTACAAATCGGTCTCCCACTTTTATCACTGCTTAATTTAAAGACTTATTTCCTGCATAATCTACTGCAAAAGACAAACTTTCCATTTTAAATATTCAACAATAATAACTTGCTGCAGCACAGCCAACTGTGTATATCAGGATTAAAGGCCGAGTGACGCAAGCTTTCAACATGCAGACAGGCTGAAATCACCGATGCTGCGTGATAATATGTGGCGACGTGGAAGCATTATCTGCATCCTGCACTAAGATAAAGTTCTATTTCCCATACAAGTTTCCTACAAATGCTGGATAAAGTGCAGATAAAAGTGCAGAAGGGAAAATGTGAGCTTCCAACTAGGTCAACACAATTCTGCCAACTCGTTTCACCATCATGGATTACTCAAGAGCGGCCCTTCAGATCCCTTTGTCTGGCCCTCAGGACTCTCTCTAGGCCAGGGGTCAGCAAACTTTTTCAACTCCACTCTCCCTCAGACTTGGTGGGGAGCCGGACTATATTTTTTTTGGGGGGGGGAATGAATGAATTCCTTTGCCCCACAAATAACCCAGAGATGCATTTTAAATATTAGAAGGCAATTGGGCCAGATCCAGCCCCCGGGCCTTAGTTTGCCTACCCATGCTCTATGCCATACTCCCTCACCTGTCCTGCTTGAGTGTTCTTGCCTGAGTGGGAGATCTCTGATAGCGTATCTTGCTTGCTTGAAGGATGGAGATTTGAGGTGGTGGTGCATAAATTAGCCTATTACACCAATGTAAAATTCACACACAGGTCCCACTGTCTGCCCTCCCATTATGCCCAAATCTCACTATAGACGCCACAGATTCAGATATCCAAACAGCTCAAGTTTTCCCACTTCCGTATCTCCTTACTTGTTTGTAACTACATTGGTTGGCTGCAGCCATTTCCAGGCAGAAACTACGCAGGGAGAGAAGGAAAGGGGAAGGGGAGAGAGATCAGACAAATCAGGGAGCAGGAGAGATCTCACCAAATCAGTTTTGCCTTTGTCTCCCTTTTGCTGGTTGGCTGCAGCCATTTCAGGAAGAAACCATAGAGCTGTGATTCTCAAACCTTTCTCTCTGGGCCACACTTTCAGAATAAAAAATATGCTTGCACCACACTGAACGTTTTATTGCTAAGAAATGCTCTGGGAAACAAAAAAGAAACAACTCGCAGCAGTGCTGGATTTATAACAAAGAACACAACTGCTTTATAATGGGGCACCCAGAAAGTATAAAACAATGCAGCCACACGAGAACATTAATTTTTCCCAAAATATAATTATAAATGAGCCTCTTACATATGTAGCTTACGTATGTTTACAAACTCAGTGACAGCTGTGAGCTTGTTTTTGTGAGGTAAGCTCATTAATATTAGGTCTAATTTGAGAGAAACAAAACAACGCATCAATGAAAAGAAGCCTTTCCCTTTTCTGATCTTTCTTATTTGTCAAGAGTTAAAAATACTGTATACAGGTTTACACAGTGTTACTGAAGGCAACTGCATTAGTTTACCATAGATGAGACTGATGCTTTTGGCTTGAAATATATTCTTTTTTGTGTAGTGGTGGAATGGGGTATGGACACAGACTGCACAGTCTGAAGGTGCCATTCTCTTACTGGTAGATATGCATTTATCCATAGACAAATTTCATTATTATGGTCTAGAGCCTTAACCAGAACATTAAGACTGTCTTAATTCCCTTGAATTAACTGGCAAGGAATTATATTAATCCAAACATGTAAATATAAAAATGCATGTTTAAATACTGTAGATTCAAATAAGAATCTATTTTGACAGGATTTTGTGTCCATTTTAGGCATATTTTTATTGTACATTTTTAATTTTGCACTGAAAGTTTGGTGTGTGTGTGTGTATAGGAAATATTTTTGATCCAATTATGCAATGACGGGAGGAAGTTCAGATGCTGGATTTCTGCCTGTCATGTAGCTGTTAAATACACAGTGAAAAGAATGGCAGCCCTCTGACACTAACTGGCCTTTACCTCGCCTGATCCCTTAGAGCTTGCTGCTTTTGGCAGCAGAAAACTAGAGATTTAATGGAACTATAAGGGCATTGATTAAGCATTTTGTATGGGGAAGTAGCAGTACACAGAGAGTCTACTCTGACCTCATAAATGCTTAAAAGGGCTGGCTTTAAACTGGCTAGTTTATTTTTTCTAGATTTACATAAATCTTGTGAAAACTTCTGTACAGAACACGCTTGCCAAAGGCAGCTCTAGATTACTCACTGAAGCCTACTCCACATCTGGATCTGGTTTCTGAGGAGAGGAGTGATTAAAAAAAGAAAGAAACTTTGGCATAAATAATAAAAGAAACTAAACAGGTTCCAGAACAGGCATTAAATGGCTGCCCTTCATTTCTATATACCAATAAAATGCCTCAGACTTCAAACCTTTACACTGCTAGGCCCATTGTGCTGTTACTAAACTGTTACTAAAAACATACAGCAGAAAGGAAGAGAACCTCCAATACAACAATAGTTGCAATTCAGAACACACCATTTATTATGTTGGAGCCACCTTTTGCAGGCATAAGCAGCTCCTTCATAAACTGGAAGGAGAACTCATGAGAAACTATTTGTTTCTACAAACAGAGGCTTGGTTCTCAATGGGAAGCCACATTGTCAGGCCTGCCTCCTGTACAGTTGAGGCTGGGTGCAACAGAGACAGGTAGGGTAGGGTAGTCTTTATCAACAGAGGTCTCTGAAGCCCTGTTTGGGTATCCTAAATGCCTCGTGCAAAGGTGAAGAGTGAAGACAAGCATGCTAGCTCTACCTTCCTTCTCCCTTATTGCTGTTCCCTTCACCCTCCACAGATTGGAGGCACAACTTCTGCAGAGGGGAGCTTTTTGTAATTGTGTAGGCCCCTTGTGCAGTTTAGACCCCTTCAGTGTCCACGTTCTGAAGCCTAAACAAGTGCAGCAGACTCCCTGCTTCAGAATATATCTCTCCTAGTCATGGATTACGGTGGTGGAGGAAGGCAAGCTAGCACACTTGACTTCTCAAGCAGGAATTAACCTCTGCAAAGATCAGACAGGAAGTCACTTCCCAGATGGATGCAGTGACCAGGCCACTTCCCAATTGTTTATTGCTTCTCTTGCTGCAACCTTCAGGTAGGGACATGTCCTGGAGCTATCTCACCCCCAGTGCCAAGCAACTTTGTTTCACTTCCAGCTATGCCTTCTGAATGTGAAACATGGCAAAGATATGGACTGGCTCGGAGCAGCTTACAGATCCCACAAGTCTTTTAAATTTTAACATATTTCTTTCACCCGTTGTGCAATACTGGGATTTATTCGGCTACCCTGCCCTGAAGGTCTCATACCAAAGAATCTCAGGGTTGTATGTGCAGACGTGAAATGACTGCACGCCACTGAGGGAACTGTCACATGCCCCCTAAATCCACCTCTGATTGTATGGTTATGGTGACTGTTCCCTAGTTTCATTCTCTGGTTAGTCCAGTCAAATAAATCCCAGTCTTGTTAAAGCATCATTTTTTTTGCACAAGAGGGAAGAAAGGATGGAACTTGCAAGCCCACAAAGCTCTCCCTGTCACCAAACCATGGTTCAGTAATCTCAGAAAGCATTACATCTGTACCAAGTCAGTGAAAGCAACTCAGATGGCAGCAGATTGCAGTACTCATCCCAAAGTGGAAAAGCCAGCCTTTAATTTTAACATACAAGGTGGAGACAACATTGTAGGCACGTGACAAGTGGCTAAGTCTAAGTGGGCCCTGCGTCTGCCCCTCTAACCACATCAGTTACAGGCTGCTTTGGACTGAAAATGACATGGCTTTCTAACAGCTGGGTGCAGCCATGTACTTTCCTTGTGTCAAGACCACAGAGGACAGCTCTTCTTAGCAGCTGCAAGCTGGC